ACCTATACAGTGACCCAGACCCCTGGGAGGATCTAAAAATTAGATCCCCTATATAGGCCCATTATAACCCCTATATAATCCTAATACAAAATCCCATATGATACACGGTTTTTATTTAAGGCAACGTCCATCCTCTACATATCTCCTATGACCGATAAAAAACCACGCATCATATGGTTCTAGGGGATCTAATTTTTAGATCCCTTTGGGGGTCCGGGGGGGTGCTGCAGAGTTCCCGCTCGCCTTGGAGCCAACCCTGGGGAAAACCCTCTCCCTGAGCAAGAACTACAGGCGGCCAAAGGGCCTAGAGCCTGAAAGGAAAAGCCCCAGGAGGGAGGAGCCGCAGCTCAAAAGGGCCTGGAACCTGAAAGGAAGGCCCCGGCCTTTTATACCCATTGGAGGAGCATGCTTCAGGTAGTGCTTCTGGTAATAGTGATGATTCTACCGCTCTTATCTACCCAGACCCCCTAAAGGATCCAACAATAGGTTCCCCAATGTAGTAAAGGAGCCATTTTTGGGGGGTTCCATTTTTTGGATCCTTTGGGGGGTCTGGGTATTGATAGGCCCCAGAAAACACTGATTTCAATCCTGGTAACAATGCCTGGAGAGCGAAATCTTCATCCTCTAGCCTGAGCCTTAGACCCCCAAACTCAAATCCCTAACTTAACCCTAACCCTAAACCTTAAACCCTGAACCCTAACCCTAAACCCCTAAACCCTAAACCCTAAACCCCAAACCCTAAACCCTAAACAACCCAGGTCCTGCGCTTGGCGTTCCAAAGACTGTGCACGCTCTGCTCCTGGCATGTCCGTCATTCACCCACGAAGGTATGTTAAGAAACGGAAGTTACAGGCTTTTCATCTTGTACTTACATTACAATCCCCCTTAAGTAGATAGAATATGGCTTTGGGTATGTTACATTAAGATCCCCATATACCCCATAGTCTATCTACTAAAGGGGGACTATACCCTAAACCGTAAACCCTCAATAGTAGTTTCCATTTTCTTTTCCGTTATCCCAATACAACCCCCATATTCCATCTACTTAAGGGGGACGATACAGGGCTTACGGTGATTACAAGTGGTTAGGCTTCTCTGACGTGAATAGAATGGACTCTTGGGCATGTTGGCTTTTGCTGGGTTGCTGTTAAGGAACTTAATTTAGGCCATCAGAATGTTTAGGGTTTCCCAAAAATAGTACCTTAATTCAAGTTCCTTAACAGCAACCCAGTTTAACAACAGTGCCTGCCATAAACCTCTGAGGCCCCCACCTACGCAGTTGGCCAAACGCAAGCTCCCCGCACAGGAGACCACATTCCTGGGTTGCTATTAAGGACCTTGATTTAAGTTACCATATAAATCCTGAACCCTAAATACCCTAAATAACCTATATACCCTATATATATATTTATACCCATTATGGTAACTTGATTAAGTTCCTTAACGGCAACCCAGATTCTGCACGGCCGCGATGATCTCACTGTAGTCCATGGCTCGCCCGTCGGATTTCGAACTTCATTGCAGCTGCAAAAAGCTTTCTTACCCAAAAGAACGTACACTCCCGGAACCTAACATGGAAACCCAAAAAAGGCACTATAAAGACTACAGTCCTTGAAAAAGGGTACTATATGGGTTTCGGGGAGTGTGGAAAGACTGATTACGCAAATTACGAGTTTCAAAGGGCAGGCTGTGTCTCCTTCTGGAAGGCATGCACTCGCGGTGAGCCGGTGTCACATGTTTCAACCAAGTTGCCATGTGCAGGTCTGGGAAACAATTTCTCAAGCGGTGGGGTGCCTCATTCGATGTTTTTAAGCTCTATGCTTTTGTGCGATCTCTCTAAACCCTAAACCCTAAACCCCTGAACCCTAAACCCTAAACACTAAGCCCTAAACCTCTAAACCCCAATATAACCTCTATAATTCTAGTAGTTTCCATTTTGTTTTCCATTGTCCCAATATAACCCAACTGAGATCCCAACCCAGTTGAGCACCGGATCTGACTCCGACCAGGTCAAAGCCCTTGATCAGCGCCTGCACTTATCAAGCCATTTTGGGGTTAATCAGTATATACATATATATAAACACGTGCGCAGGTACATACACGTATATATATGTATATATATAGTCTCCCTTAAGTAGATAGAATATGGCTTTGGGTATATTATAAGAAGAACCCCATATACCCTATATTTTATCTACTTAAGGGAGACCATACACACCTCAATCAACAAGTAGTGCAAGCCTCCCTCTGTGGGTATACTGGCATCGATTTGAGATGCTACCATTTACCCAAGTTCACGGACCTGATCAGCTTGCAGATCCTCACAACATTGCTAGCGTGCCTGACCTGAAAACAAAAGCAAACCCTACACCCCAAAAAACCCTTAACCCTAAACCCTAAACCCCCCAAAACCCAACAGCTTCGACCCCATACCTCTACACCCTACACCCCCAAACCCCCAGCAACTTCCGTCATAAAGCCCTCGTAAACCCTAAATGAGTAGCCTTTTTTGGTGGTTGAACCTAGTAAGATTCTATTCCTTATTTAAAATACTATACCCCAAAAGGAGGATATAATCTTACTCTATAATGGGTACCATAGTATCCCCAAATAAAATACTGCTGAAATGATAGATTCCATTTTCCGTTTCATTATCCCTATCTATCCCCAGTATATCCCCTCTCCAAACCCTAAACCCTTAGCCCTAAAACCTCAAAAACACAAGTTTTAACTCCCCGCGCCATGTTGATGCCGAACTTCGGTATGGTTCCGGACCTTCTGCATCTGACGTCCCATAATAGTAGGATGTAGGGTTTAGGGTTTAGGTTTCCGGGTCCTAATAGTAATAATAGTTATAATAGCAAGAACAGTAATGATAGTGACAAATAGTAAGAATGATAAGGGTTTAGGGTTTACCGTATAGTAGTAGTAGCAGTAATAGTAGTGGCAAAGAAGATGGAAACTAATTTTTTGGGGTTCACGGTTTAGATAAAGGGTTTAGGGCTGACGTCCCATTTTTTTCTCAGGACTTCGCGTTTGGGGATTCGGGTGCAAGGCTAAGTCTAGGGTTTGGGCGTCTATGTGATAGGATTACAAAGGGACGGTATTGCTCATGTAGGTGCAAGATAGACTAAACCCTATGCCCTGAACCCTAAACCCTAAACCCAGACAGCTTGGCTTCCGGCGCGAAGCCGACGACAAGCAGTCGGGCATAACCCTTTGGGTTCACGCATCTCCTCCGGAGGGGGAAGGGTTTAGGGTTTAGGGTTCAGGGTTTAGGGTTTAGGGTTTAGGGTTCAGGGTTTAGGGTTTAGGGGTTTAGGGTTTAGGGTTTAGGGGATTCAAGAAGTTTAGGGTTCAGCCTCATTTGGGATTAAAAGCAAGGTTTAGGGTTTAGGGGTTTAGAATTGGAGTTTATGAAGATAGTGCCCCCCTGAACTTCAGGGAAAATGTGATCAAGCGGGAAAGTGGGGGGTCCCATCAAAAACTCATTGCATATTATAGGTATGCGTATATGTATATGTATATATATATATGAAATATGGTAAGCATATATATATATCTCTCTCTCTCTCTATATATATATGTACATAGACATATGAAAAGGCCATGGTATGAAGGATATTGCCAGAAACAACCATCTTTGCCTGAAAGCAGGACGCAGTAACTGAGAATGGCGCACACACTGGTCAAAAATGTCTCCCCCAACAGGGTCATAGATCACCTTTGGCAGGAAGAGACCACTTGGGGGACGCCCCAAATTAGGGGTACCTTGTTGAGGTAAGGACTCTTGTACTTTGGGGGCCTATATTGTGGGTTTAGGGTTTAGGGGTTTAGGGTTATTGAGGTCCCCCTATGTGGGGAACTACCACTTGCAGCATCGCTCTGGAATGCAAACTTTCCATCAGCTTGTCTGAGATCGAGGCATCGCAAAACTCGCCCTTAGTGATTTCTCCGACCTCTGGCAATAACACGCTTCGTTTGCACATCCTGACGCTATGCGCGGCCATATCAACTTGCTCTTGGGCGTGCTTACTTGCTCATCATGTGGGCTTCTCAAAATCGCGGAGCGCCTGTATGGAATTTTCAAGGACTCTATATAACCCCTATATACCCCATTATGATATAGTAGCTTCCATGTCCTTTTCCATGATCCCTATATCACCCCAATATACTATACACAGGCCCTGATGTTGATACACGTACATTCATGGATTCAAGTAGTACCCTAGGTTCCCCCCGTAATTGAATTAGGCCTAATTATCCCCTAAATAACCTTAACTAAGGGGGGACACTAGGGGGGTACTAGGGGAACCCCTGATACATACGCCCCTCAGGAGGCATCTGCTCCAGCCGAGTTCGGTACGGCATCCTTCAGCGTCTGCTTGCTGTAGTTCACCACATAGTCCGCCCCCAACTCCACACAGGAGGTTTAGGGTTTAGGGTTTAGGGTTTTAGGGTTTAGGGTTTAGGATTTAGGGTTTTAGGGTTTAGGGTTTAGGATTTAGGGTTTAGGCTTGTTCTGGACATTCTTGTGGTCAATGCGGATTGTCCACAGTCGGTCCACATTGGATTCCTTCAAAGAAGGGGCCGGCATGATCTATGGGTCCCAAAAGGGCCCTCGCTTTGCACCGCAACTCACGTGAGCATGTCCAATCACCCCAACCTGTTTCCAAAGGTGCTCCCTACAAGCTGATACCAGTTCGCAAAAATGCTAATCATTGGATTGCTCTATTTGATTTTGTTTGACACACTGCGGCCTTCTTGCACATCTCCAACTTGTCGTCAGAGCTCGCCGCTGCAATGACCTCGGGGGGCGCTGCACCCCTCCCGCGCTCTGCAGGGCAGATACTTCAGACACTGCTGAAGCATGCTCCATAACCCCTCAACGGGGATGCTGTTGCTGTTACGAAGGAGGAAAGGCGTGACAGCAAGCATGTTTCTCTCTGCGCGGGCGTATCTCTAAGCAATTCCTGCACAATGGGGCTAACTGAGCTGTTTCACTCGAAGTCGACCGCCACACTTCGCATCTCGCCGTTTTGGAACCACTCGGACCTGACCAGCTCTTGGTCAGATGGGTATAAACTGGGTTGCATATTGGGATAAAGGCTGGATACTGCCCCCCCTCAGTAACAGTTGGATAATAAATATAATATGGGTACATATAGCCCTTAATAGGACCCCTAATACAGACTGTTACTGGGTGGGGGCAGTACCCAAGATAAAGGCATTCAAATCCTCAAAGCATCTCCCGTTCCAACCCAGAGACAGCTCAGGGTCATCGCACTTAAGAACTGCGTTGAAGAGGCTGAAGAGCCAAGCCTGTGGGTAACACCACAAGTGAACAATTGAGCTCTTGTCAATACCAAATTATTGGGGTGTAGCAGGGAATAAGGCAATATGTTAGAAGATTATGAGGGATTGTATTCTGGTATTCCCTAGTAGGAACCAGTAAGTTTAGCACAGAATGAGTTATTCTGCTGCAACAACACCAGGAGCAGTGCTCCGACCCGCATGGCTACGACCCATGTTTGAACTGACAATGCTCTGACAAATCTGCTCACCAAGAACATCAGCTGCAGCATTTTCACAGCATGTAATTCATCATTTTCAGCCCGCATGGTGACTCCTATGGCCCTCTGCCTATGCAAGAGTCTTCATTTGCAGCCCCAGGGGCAGAATGGGTGGATACCACAATCTCTGTCTCTGTGCGGTTGCGAAGCCAGAGCATGAAGTCATAGGCTCGCTGGGCAACTTCCATGTCGCTTTCATGGTGCAGGGTCGCTAGGAGCGGGTCCTGGAAATCCCAAAGCCCTAAAGCCCAAACCTTCAAAGCCAAAACGGTAGATCCCAGAATAAGGGAACCCCAAGATAGGCCCCAATATACCCCCCAAAAAAATATAGGAAACCCTCAGATCACTGTTGAGAGCCTCCTCAGCCACTAGGGAGAAGTCCACATTGGGGAAATCCTGCTTAGCATCCGACGCAGATCTCCGGAAGTCGCAGGAGTTTCCGTGGCTCTTCTCTTTGCCTTGAAGTTAAGGGGTCTAAACTGGGTTGCTATTCAGGAATTTACATTAACTTGCTTTATTGGGGAAACCCTATTTTTTACCATATATATTGCCCATTATGGTAATTCAGTGTACGGTCTCAAGTGATTTTCAAGAGGTATGTAGGAGATGTGGCGTTTCTGGGGGGTACTGTAAGCGCCATTTTCTTAGGCACAGCCGACATGAGATCCCAACCTTGCTTCTGCAAGATATCAGGGATTTGCTGTGCATGGCGAGCATGCGTTCGATTTTCGCATGTTGCCGCGAGTTGAAATCCAATAACCACATTCTCAAATGTCAATGCCCTTATGGCACGTCACTGGGTTCACCAAAATTAATGCCCCGCTTCATCTTGGGGAGCGCATCCAAGGCGCACAGTTCGTGCGCGATGAAAGGAATCTCCCCAATCTTGTGGGCAAACGCAATATTCGAGGTCCTGAGAGCAGGACAGGCCAACTCCCCCGTACTCATGCCTCAATGAGTGCCAACATGAATATGGACAGTATAGAAAGGGTTATACAAGGATTATATAGGGATAATGGAAAAGAAAGTGGAAACTACTATAGTAGGACAGCCTGTTTACGCCTTTGATGTACCTCGCGAACCTCAAGTACTTAAGGAGCTTCGAAGCTTTCACCCTGTACACACTGTAACCCAAAAACTTGAAAGGGGCAAATGGTTAGGGCTAATCGTGTAGAGTCATGCATTCTGCCATCAAGCCGGCAGCAGCCAGCCGAATGCAGATGATTGGGGGCCAACACCGTACAGCCAGCAAACCCTATAGGCGCTGTGTCCCTTGGCCAGCCATACCTACACGAGCCTTGTACATACAGGTATGAGTTAGTGTACTTATGTATATGTAGAGATATATGTATACACGTACGTCTATACATTCTGACACAATCACAGCTCATGTAAGAATCCTGCGCATAATGACTGCATATCCAGAATGATACGGTCTATATTTGCACACATGTCCATACGGTAGCCACCCACACCCGAAACCTTGTAAACCCCAAGAACTATCGTCTACACTCAAAACCCTGAATCGCAAGCCCAAAGCCCGTAGCCCGCAGACATCCGCAAACCCTCAAAACTCCTCTGCCCTACATCCAAACCTCCAAAGCTGTAAACTCAAACCCCTACACCCTAAACCCTAAATCCCCTAAACCCCAAACCACTTAAATACTCAGCCCCTAAGCTGGCTCAGGGGGTCATAAGAGCTCTGGACATCGGCGAGACAACGACCAGCTGCGCTTGGCTTTGATGCGCCCGGCTTTGCAAAGCTTTTGCCTAGGACGGTCAATATTAAGGAGAAAGGACTATATAAGGGCTTATGTAGAGTTTAAGGTTTTTAGGTTTTGGGGTTTAAGGTTTAGGGTCTAGATTTCAGGTTTTGGGTTCAGGGTTGAAGATGATATAAAGATAGTACGGGGATTATATCTGGAGTATGCAGGGGGTCATATAGGGGTTGTTCTATGGGAGTTACATCGCGGTTATGAGAAGATGATATAAAGATAGTACGGGGAGTATATCTAGAGTATGCAGGGGTTATATAGGGGTTGTTCTATGGGAGTTACATCGCGGTTATGTGGGGATAATGCAGGGATTCAGTAAGGATTATATAGTTACAGAAGAGGTGGCTGTGGGGCCTGCGTTTTTAATATAGGTATTTTCGATGTTGTGTAAAGCTTTTCATATAGTTATGTATGTATTTGCTTATCTATAGGCTGAATCTACGCAGGCCCCATCGAAAAGTCATGAAAATATATGTTTTCAAAAACCAAGGCCCCACAGCCACCTGCTCTCTATAGTTAGGGGTTATAGGCATAGGGATGTTCACGGTTCGGAGTGTAGCATTTAACATTCATTGTGATCACAGCAGCCAGTGAAGAGTTCCTCATAGTACGGATGCCCAATTTTTAGGGAGGGTATGAGCTAGGTATCAACGTATGGATTCTGACGAGATTCTAAGGTTCATTCCTCCCCAGACCCAAAACAATGTAGCAGTTTCTATGCCCTTTTCCATTTCTCCATTCCCTACTAACCACAGCAAAGAAAAGTGTTTAATTCCCCCACCCATTCCTAAACTTCCCCCAGCCACCCAAAAAAACACCTATCCCCCCCCACCTCGAGGTAACATTTTGGAAGCACTCGTTGTCAGGGGGCTGGTGGAACAATGCTAATACTAATTAACTCAAGTCTACTGTCATTGGGAAAGGGTCAATGCAAAACCCTCAACCCTAAACACTTCAAGTTCACATTGAGGGCTGGGCCTGTTGTCTTCCGACCTCTGTGAGGGGTGGGTCGAACACCTTGTCGGCACTCTGAGGCCTAGAAAATATTTGCTGGGGACATCTAAGCACGTTCATAGAGGGGTTATATGGGCTTTTCGGTGCGCCCCTTGAGGAATATGTAAGTATTCCGAACAACCCCCCTTTACAGATCTAGAGCGTCTGATCTGGGGAGCCCTGGGGTCTAAACCCCAAAGCGCAAAACCCCAAAACCAAAGCCCTAAACCCTAAAGCCCTAAACCCTGTAGGAATCCAAGCATAAGATCCTTTTAGAAGTCTACTTTCGCTTAACCAAGCAGTGAACGGAGCCTTGCCTCTGGGATGTTGTACGGGCTGACCTTCCCGTGCACCTTGGTTTGGGGCTGTGGTTTGGGGTTTAGGGTTAGGGGGTTGGCTGTGGTTGAGGGTTTAGGGTTGGGGGTTTAGCATGTTTTCCTTGTTGGGATCTTTTTCCATCTTTCGTCTGGGTTTACGCAGAAGCAAAATGGATCCCCTTTCCCTTCATCCTAAATCCTAGAGGTCCCCCCCCTGAATGGGTTTAGGGTTTAGGGCTCAGGGTTTAGGGGTTATAAACTCCTAAAGTTCGAAACCTCTAAACTCTACACCTCTAACCTCTAACTTAACCCATAACGCACCAAACAAAACGAGAAAAAGGGAAAGGCCCTGCCGACCTGGTAGACTTGACAGAAATCGTTAAGCGAGTTGTGGAATCCTTGACCGTGGCGGATGAAATGCAGAATCCTTGGGATCTCAAATGAGCCATTGTCTAGACTCCTAGTATCCCCCTTAATAACCCCTATAGTAGTCCCATATATAATCCCCTATATAACCCCCTTTAAGGAGTTTAGATTGTGGCTCAAATGAAGGTTTTTTTTTAGGGTTTTGGGTGTTTGGGTTTTAGAGTTGAAGGCTTAGGAGTCCGTGGCTCGATGTTTCGGGTTTGGGGTTAGGGTTTACAGGTTTAGGTTCAGGGTTTGGCTTTAGTGTTAGGGTGTAGGGCTTTAGGTTTAGGGTTTACATTTTAAGGGTTAGGTTCAGGGTTTAGGGTTTCGGGGGTTAGGGTCAAGGGTTTAGGGGTTTAGGTTCAGAGTTTAGGGTCATGGAATAGCCTTATCGTTATGCGACCCTTGCCCACATTAACCTTGCCACTAAATCGCTGAATACCCTGCGAACATGTCTTTCAGATCCTGAATACTGAATACAATTCCGAATCTACCACTGTTAAAAAAGAACCTGGGCTTGATGGCCAGGTTTTAGATCTGAAGATGTTGAGGGTTAGTGGCGAATTAGGGAATACATTATGCAGGGTCCACATAGGGATTATAATATTCCCGTATTCCCTACTGACAACCAGCAAACATAGATGTTGAGTCAGTTGAGGGTTACTTCACTCTCTCAAGAGTCCACCTTCCAATATTTCCTTGGTGTGGAGGAAGGCATGCTTGCGAGAAACCGAGCGAAAATCAATGAACACGCTTAGAATGTTTCTGCGCAATCTGCATGATTGGGTTTAGGGTTTAGGGTTTCCGGGGACAAATATACACCGAAACCCTGAACTTTAGGCCCAAATCACACTTGCATCTGCAAGAAGTGGACTGTCTTCACCACGCTCAAATAATCTCTTGAGCCCTAAGCCCTAAACCCTAAACCTTGGGCACTGCCCCCCCCCAGTAACTGTCTATATTAGGGGTCCTATAAAGGGCTATATATAACCATGTCATAATCATTATACGGGTACTGAGGGCGGGCAGTACCCAACCTAAACCCTAAACCCTAATTGCTTGAAGCTCAGATGGGGCCTATGGGAGTGCTGCTTATGTTATTCCGGACAGGAATATAATTCCCTGGTGATTGTGCTGAAGCATACAATGACAATTTGTTAGGAGGACCCCCCCCACCCTGTAATAGTGGTATAATAGGAATACAAGAGGACCCCTAAACCCTAAACCCATATAATCCCTATTATCCCTTATAATCACTATTACTGGATGGGGGGTCCACCTAAACAATGTGCTTTGTACGTGCAAAGCCCTCAACCTCGAACTCTACCGGGAAGTTTCCGAAGCAGTCTGCAAAACGGGGTTTTCAGTTTGGGGTTTAGGGTTTAGGGTTTTAGGGTTTAGGGTTTAGGGCTTAGGGTTTAGGGTTTAGGGCTTAGAGTTTAGGGAACCCAAGCCGTAGACCTCCGTTTCACATCCCCAGCCTCTCTCTATGATCCCTGTATGCCGCCTAACACGGACCCAGCATGAACCACAAACCCAGACCCCCAAACATAAAAGCTCAAGACCAACCCTAAACCTGCAACACCCCCAGACCCTAAACCCTTTAAACCCCCAAAATCCCTAAACCGTCCACGCCTAAACCCTAAACAACTAAATCCCTACACCCTCTAAATCCTAAATAGTAGTTTCGATTTTCTTTTCCATTATCCCCATATAACCCCAAGATTAACATACCCCTATATAACCCATTATGGTAGTTTCCATTTTCTTTTCCATTGTCCTCATATAACCCCATTAAGAATCCCTATATAACCCCTATAAGAAGCCCAATATAACCCCTACAATCCCTATATACCCCCTTAATTAATCCCTGATCCCTAAACCCTAAACCCTCCTAAACCCTAAACCCTCCTAAACCCTAAACCCTAAACCCTCCTAAACCCTAAACCCTAAACCCTAAACCCTAATCCCCATGTACCATCTGGAGCTTGGCCTGAGATTCTTCATTCCTGAGCCAGCCCTGCGACACGTCATGCGAACAGGCCACGCCTCGAGGATGGTGATTCAGGGATTTTGGGGGGTTTTTAGGGATTTAGGGGGTTTGGGGTTTTGAAGGATTTACTGATTTAGGGTTTGGGGGTTAAGGTGTTGCAGGGATTTAGGGTTTTAGGGATCTAGGGTTTAAGGAATTGTAGGGATTAGGGGGTTTGGGGTTTTTAGGGTTTAGGGATCTAAGGTTCAGGGGTCGTAGGGACAAGGAGGTTTAGGGGTTACGGGGTTTAGGGTTTAGGAGTTTGTGGGTTGAGGGGTTAAGGGGCTCAGGGATTTTTAGGGGTTTAGGAGTTTGGGGGTTGAGGGTTAAGGTTTTTTTGGGGGTTTTGGGGATCTAGGGCTGAGAGGCTAGGGAATCCTTCTGTGGCTTAGGCATTCCTTCTAGTTCCTTGCTGAGGGTGGAGGATGCCCTTGTCACACATCGATTTAGGATTGAAGGTTTCGGGCTGAGTGGGGCTGCGGGGGCTTAGGGTGAGGGGCTAGCGCTTACGAAAGAGGGGTCTGTAGTTTTCTGGGGATTTGGAGTGTGGGGTTCAGGGTTTAGGGCTCAGGATTTAGGGTTCAGGGTTTAATTCAAGGCACAGGAGAAGCTTCTTAGGGCTTCTTAGGGGTAGAAGAAAACAAGGTTGGGGGAGGTTTCCTGCGGCTCGGGCATCTGCTTCATGCCTGGCCTGAATTCTTACTTAGAATTTGGAATCATTATTCTGCAAGCTTCGACAGCACTTTGGTAGATTAGTGTGGGTTTGTAAACCTACCCTGAACAACACTACCCTGCCCGCCTAAACCCTAGACCCTGAACAGCTGCAAGCTAGAGAGCAGTGTGCGACGTTGGTCACTAAGTGATTTCTGGGGACCCCGGGGTCGTACTTGAAGATTGTGGCGATGGCAATTGGGAAGCCCCCCAGACAGTCGCTTGAATATCAGAGTATGTCGCGGGCCTTTGGATATAGCTTTCCCTCTTAATACCGGATTATCGGTAGCAGCTGAGTGCAGCTTTGTCAGTATGTTTGACTATGTAATCCGGATTCTTTACCACGGTCTGCCTATGATGGCAGCCTTCACACCCTCAACAATGAAGGGGTTTACCCTAAACCCTAAACCCTAAACCCTAAAACCCTAAACCCTAAAACCCTAAACCCTAAAACCCTAAACCCTAAACCCTGAA